TACTTACTGACAGACCCCCAGCTTTGGAAACTGAAGTGAGTACATGGATTGCCCAGCACACTGCAACGTTACATGCCATGAGACGAGCTTTTACAGTGGCTGAATGCTCTGAGAGGATACGAAGAGCCCTTCGCAAACAGCTGCGATCCATTGATAACAAATATGAAATGGGGGACAAAGTCTATTATAAAAGGACAGACTGTCATGAATGGAAAGGTCCAGGTGTGGTCATTGGCCAAGATGGTGTAGTAATATTTGTCAGGCATGGAGGAACCTATGTCAGAGTACACCAGTCTAGGCTCAGAAAAGTGGATGAACCACAAGTGAACATGGAAGAAACCCAAGAGGAAAATCCGATTAAAACAGATGAAAATCTTTTAAAGACCCCAGCAGCAGTACTTGGTTAGGAACACAATTTTGAAAACAAAAATGGGGAGATGGCACCAACAAACAGTGAACCACTTAGCAGTGCAGAAAATGAACCGCTCGGTACTGCAGAAAACAGCGAGTCCTGTGATCCAATGCAACCTGGAGAAAGAGATCCCACACTGTCTCACTCAACCACAGATATAGAAAGATCAAAACTTAAAGTTGGACAAATAATTAAATACACAGACAAAGAAACAGGTCAAAAGTACTGGAAAAATAATCACTTGAGCAGGAAAAGCCACTGGGAAAACAGAAAGTGGTACAACGTGGAATACAGTGAGCCAGAGGAAATTACTGGATTCATGGGTTCCATTAATGTGGAGCAAGTAAACAACCTTCAAGTGACACGGTCTGAAGAGGCCAAGTCATGCACAGGCAAAACCAGATATGAAATATTAGTGGTGAAGGAAGACATCTTCTCACAAGCCAAACAAACTGAACTTGACAACTGGAAAAGAAACAATGTGTTTGAAGTGGAGAAAGATAAAGGTCAGAAATGTATATCAACAAGGTGGGTGTGCACACTCAAGCAAACACCAGGGGGCATTGTTCCCAAAGGTAGACTGGTTGCAAGAGGCTTTGAAGAAATAAACACTCAAGAACTTTCCAAAGACTCACCAACATGTTCCTCCGAGTCCCTGAAGATGGTCATAGCAGTCATATGTCAAAATCAATGGAAACTGAACTCTATGGACATTAAAGCAGCTTTTCTGCAAGGTAAAGATTTAACCCGAGACGTGTACATCCGACCACCTGAAGAAGCTCAGAGCAAAGGAACTATATGGAAGTTGAATAAATGTGTTTATGGCCTGGCAGATGTTTCATTATTCTGGTACAACAAGGTGAAAGAAACCATGCAGAAGCTGGGGGGCACAGTGTCAAAAGTTGATCCAGCCGTCTTCTACTGGCTAGATGATCTCTGTAAGGTGACAGGGGTACTTGCATGTCATGTACATGACTTTATGTGGGGTGGTTCAGACATGTTCTCCACAGTAGTCATCCCCAAACTGAAAGCTGCTTTTCAAGTTGGATGAGAAGAGCATAACAGCTTCAACTACATCGGGATGGAGGTTCACTTTCTTCAGAATGAAATACAACTACAACAAGATGCGTACATAAAAAACCTACAGCCTATTCCTATTGATCCCACCAGGGCACCACAGCGGGAGGCTTCTTTAACAGATACAGAGATAAAAATCCAAGATTGGACAGACATTGTGGGTAGCAAGACAGAGCAGACCCAACATCATGTGTGACATTTCCATCTTGGCATCAAACACAAAACATGCTACTATTCAGACAATGCACTGCACAAACAAACTGATCAGAAAACTTAAATCAGAGGAGGTTACGCTGAGGTTTCAGTTCTTGGGTGAAAGCAAATCCCTCAAATTAGTGGTGTTTAGTGATTCCTCGATGGGAAACCTCTCAGACTGAGGCACACAAGGTGGACACTTTATCATGTTGATGGGAGAAGGTGGAAAGTTGTCAATGAATGTGTTTTTTTTAAAACACTAGTTTGGAGTGGGTCAGTTTTTTCTGTGGTTGTACGAAAGAAGGCAATCATTAAAGTTGGAGTTACTATGGCAGTTGTGTGATTATTGGACCAACATTTATCCCCTGTTACAATAATGTGTTTAAGTCTACCAGTCAGTCACAATGTTAATTTTAAAAATCCTGTGGTTAAGAACTCTCTTAATGTTTAGTTTCAGTGTTGACGACATTTCGGGCTGAAGCAGTCGCTTGTCTGCTCCCCTATTGCGTCAAATCACTTTTTTTTTACCAGATCTTAGCGATGCAGTGTTCAAGGTTTGGTACAGCAGGGGAATTATCTGTTTCTCAGATCTGTTTGTTAAAGGGTAATTTTTAATCCTTTGAAACATTATCTAAAGATTTTGGAATCCCATAGACTCACTTCTTTAGATACTTACACGCCCGTAGCTTTGCAGTTAAACACTTCACTTCTTATCCAAGTCTACCTACTGACTGTCCACTTTGAGGACTGTCTGCAATTTCGACCTATTGCTAGAGGCCATATTTCTCCAATATATAGCACATTGCAGCATACAAAGGCAGACTCTGTGTCCAAAGCCAGAAAGGCATGGGAACTGGACTTAAACCTCCAGATCTCAGATGACCTATGGGACCTTAGTGTTAGCAGGATCCATGAATCCTCAATCTGTATGCGGCATTGTATAATACAGTTTAAAATCCTTCACCGGGCGTACCTAACCAAAGCTAAACTCGCCAAAATATACAATACCTCTGATGATGGAAGCAATCACCCGCTACTATGAGCCATATGTTCTGGACCTGCTCTGATTTGAACCGGTTGTGGGAATTAGTTTTTAAAGCTTTTTCATATGTGTGTGGGAAAACACATATGAAGCACATATTTGGTGTCCTCCTAAACCAACACGGTATAGCTTCTTATCAAATGTATGCAGTGGCTTTCTCATCTCTCCTGGCACACAGGCTAATTCTTCTTAAGTGGAAGGATTCTGGTCTGCCAGTGTTTGTTCAGTGGGTAGAGAGGTAGATAGAGCATTTGAGATACAGTTTGAGAGGGTCTCAAAGTAAATACTACAAAACCTGGTCATACTTTATTGAATATGTGGAGAAGTTGTCATTTACTGAAGTATTACTGCTTTTATCTGTGGGGGTTTTTTTCTTTAAAGCCACCTACTATCTGACAAGAACTGCACACAATGCAGCCCCCCCCCCCTGTTTATTTATTTTATTTTATTTTTGTTTGTTTGCTTTTTGGTGTTTTCTGCCTTGTTCACATGGTAGTATTTCTTGTTTGTGCCCATAGATTTTTCTGAGTCCAAATAGTTTGCCACTGCGTGGCACAACCAGTTTCACAATGGCAATGTTTGTAATTGCAATTCCAGTTATATTTTTCTGTATTTTTGTCACATTGGAAAATCATAAATAAAGTTATCAAAAAATAAATAAATAAAATAAAACTGGCTGCCAGTAGACAGCTGTTAATTATGAATAGCACACTAGGCCCAAGTGTCAAAGACCTCTTTGAATGATTGTTTCAGGACCACAGACTGGGCTTCACTTCAGCCAAAGCAGAGAAAGAAAGAAATGGTCAAAAACAGCAAAAAATGTGGGACAGAGGGATCATAGGCAGGGGGAGTGATGTCAGGCCTGGTCTTATCAACTTTACCAACAAAAGACTGTAAGAAATGTTCCTGGAAGGTAAGGGGTGGGATATTTCAGCAAACAATGCACTCTGAATCACATGCATCTATATGTGCAGCAACATCTGCAGGGAGCTCTAACAGCAGTTCTGTACTTTACATGTGTTGGTCATCACACTTAGTAGAACATGCTGCTCCCTACAATAAAGCCACACTTATTGGCCAAACCCCTTTAACATAATAAGCAGGATATGGGCTATTCCTCAGTCTTCAGCACAGGACTGACACATCACCTTCCTATCACTTTTCACCCTCATTGCAGTTTCCATGGTGATTAGTCAGGCCGGCCTGTGCAAGTTATTTTCCTGAAGAGCCCTACATCTCCCATGCTGTTTTACACACCTACAGCATGCAGCACAGAGTGGGAGGGAGCACTTTGTTGATGCTCTGAAAAAGGAGGAGTAATAAAGCTGTCACAGTAATAAATGTGGCTGGTATGTGACTGAGAGCTGTGGCCCTCGTGACAGCCCATGCTTCCCCACCGAAGGGCCTCAGGTAGGGACTGTTGTGTATGAGGTGCTATTCTGGAGAGGACATTCTTCTCCTCCTCTGTCACAAGCTCTGGTGACAGCTGAATCCCTCGCCACGGCACAACGTTTATCACAAGGGCATAAACAGTATAGCTATGAGACGAATATGCACCCAAATGGCCTGAGATCAACCCGCTGCTATTTTAAAGAAACAAAGACCAGCGAAATGTTAGCAGGACAGGACTGCGTATAATCTCCCCCCTCCCCTTCCTAATCTGCATCTTAAAGAAGAGCATCAGAGGAGGATGTCTCTTTGGAGGAACGTTGTATGTCGCCCTCCTGCTTCCTTGTTCTAGACATTCTGATATCAGCAGCACCTGCAATGCAGAACATCCTTGCTGTGAGGCTGAAAGGGAGGCGCGGCAATGAGTAGAGAGGACATGGGGGAAATGGGATGAGAGTGGATGGATGGAGGAGGGAAAGCAGAGCAGGGCAGCGCAGTGATGCTCAGCAATTTAGTAAGAGGCTCATTTTTCTTGAGTTGTGCGCCCCGTCATACAGAATGGGTTATTAGAGCAACACATTTAGCCCATTTCCCCTTGAGTCAGGCAGAGAATGAGGGAAACCAGAGGAGGAAGAGGCCACTCTACCACTGCTTATTGCTGTTATGATATCCCAAGGCACCTAGAGTTTTTGTTGATGAGCTCTTGCTTTTGGAGTCTCTTCCAAGCCTCATTTTCACCTTTCCCTTTTCCTTTAATATTTCGGATAAATGAACTACAGTGCTGAAAATGCTTCATCACAAGGCGAACTGTTGATCAAAGCCTTCAAAATCCAGATTCTTTACCTTTGCACACACGCAAACACACACACACACGTGCGCACTCACCGGTCTCGCTTGTGTTTCTTCCCACTCTTTTTCTTCTTCTCTCTGTGAGTGGGTGAGAAGCTGCCAAACCTGTTGATGGAGAGAAGGATACATGACGTGACTGCTAAGTGAACCTCAGATAGATGTTAAACTGTGGCTTTTCACTCAACTGCATTACATTACCCCTCAGATAGGGTCATTATGAGCAAAGGTATCATCTTATAGTGGCTCAGCTGATTTCTCTCTCAGCTCTATTCATCCCTCTGCCTTTCTCCTTTTATTGTGGCTGCTCTCTAATGCCTCTGTGTCTCTTCTTTTCAATCTCTTGCTCCCCCTCTTTTCCTGACCTTGTCAAAAGAAAATGGGAGATGAGGGTATGCTTTGCTAATCGCTCCCCACCCCCACGCACAGTCGCGGTATCTGATGGCTCATTTGTGATACTCACACCAAAATAATTGGAATTCCGTTTTACAAAACCACCAGTGTAATTATTCTGTCAGCGGAGCTGGCGAAAGGAAAAAAAGGAAAACAGAGCAAAATTGAACCACTTCATCAGCGATCAGTGGAAGCTGTTTCCACTCACCGACTCCTTCGACGGCCAGATTTCTTCTTCTTCCTTTTCTTTGGACGAGGGGAAGGTGAGCTGCTTGATTTCCTCTTCACCCTGAATTGGCCGCATCAAGAGAGTTAGGGGGAGCATAAATCATTTACAAGCGATTGCTATTATAATCATCTCCAGTTTTCAATTTCTGATTACAGTTATTTGCCGATGCTTTGCCGATAACAGGAATGATAAGTGTATATTTTCTCATTTCATTCATAACACAATATCCATACAATACATCTTACCATCCAAACAGGAAATCACTTTGAGGAAATGACACTTAATCTTGTCTATGAAGCGGCACACACACACACAGAGTACAGTCTAAATGACCATCTATGTGACAGTTTTCATATATAAATAATAATTGCTGCCTACCTCTGCATGCACACACGCACTGTGGGTGATATTTTACGATTTTTTTGTGTTTACATTTGGAGGAAACACCCACAAGCCATGTGACAGGGACGACAGACAGCTGATTTAACACATCCTTGAACATACCTGTTGTCACCATGGTAGTCATACCCATAATCTTCATCTTCATAGCCAATCACTTCAGGGTCCTCTTCATACCCATCAGGGGGATAGTGCAGGTGGTTGACCCTGAAAACACATGAAGAGATTGTGGTGAACAGTGTGTCTTCATTGTCTTCAGTGAAAACATGCAGACAAACAACAGCAACATCTGTGTGGGGCTTCTTCATAATTAACTTTTTATATTTGCCATCTTAGCTGGGTGTGTGTGACAATGGCAACCACAGACACTACTGAGGGGGAAACAATACAGGCACCTATATGACTCACATCTTCATCAGCAGAATGAAAAAGGATGAAAAGAAGAACTGAGCAACATCATTTTCAGCATGTGGGGACATTAAACAATTAAAATAAACAAAGCCAACTTGTGTCATATTTATAAATAGTTTTTTAGACATACAACCTAATCAATTTAGCCAAGTGATGGATTTATACCAGGTGGATAGTGGATAGCAGCAGCATGTGGTGTGCAGGCTGCCAGGGTTGAAGGAAGCTGAGAGAACGTTGATGATGGCAGCTGCTCACTGTTTGAAAGAACCTCAGGAAAGAGGAGTAACAAGTCTGCAGACTATCATACTATACTAATCTGATGTCAATATTACTTTACATTTTTAATACAATTATCACATTTGTTTAGGGATTTTCTTGCAAAGAGATTTTCTTTTTACCTTTGTAGTAAAAAGAAAAGAGATTGTAGTCAGAGCCAAAGGGGGAAAAAACACTGTCATTGTTATACATCACACTATATAAATGCAATCCATTATTATTATTATTATTATTACATAAAAATGGCTATTAATATGCTGAAGTATAGCAGACATTTTATCTATCAAATAGTAGGAATGCTTCACTGTACATGGACAGCGAAGAGAAACTTTAATTGTGACCAACAAACACAGTAAGAGGGACATTATGCTGGTAAAACAGCCACTCATCCGCGCCCTCTAGAGGACAACTGGTGAAATGTGACACTTTTCCTAAATGATTTACTGTATTTAGTGGCTCTGTGTTAAGAAATTATGCAACACAAGTGTAGCATATGGAAAGACATCAGGTGTAAAATCTGTACCAAATCATAGACGTGGATCTTCCACTCTGGTAACCCAGTTGGAAATAAAGTAGCAGCAGAAAGAAAATGCAAAATTATTTATTAAATTTTCTGAATGTATTAATCATATCTTGGATGTATGGGTTCAGCTCAAATTGGTAAAATGCTCTAATCACAAAGTAACACCAAGATGAATGAAAATTAGCTTTACAGGCATGGCCCGACTGATTTTTAACATAGCCTTATTGCAAGTAGAAAGTCTTAAGGGAAGCCCTTATTTTAAGCCATTACAGTGTTAGACAGAAAGTCAGGGGGTATTTATAGCCTAATAAATCCTGATGAAACAACAACTGTATAGGAAGTTTTATACCAATGCATTCCCTCTCAAAAAACCATAAATGTCAGGCTACCACTAGAGAGAAGTCAACGCTGTTCATCCTCTAGAAGCCATGAACCGATGTACAAAAATGTCATTCTAATCTAATGCTCATTTATAAAAATGACCCAGATGACAGATCAATGGTGCTGTCCTTTGGTGAGGCTAGAAACATTCCACCTACCCATATGGTAAATAGCATTAAATTTTAAAGAAACAAAAACAAAAGCAAGAAAAATAAAACGACTCTATTACACGACAAAAAAATAAAAATAAAAATAAAAATCGAATACAACTTGAGTTCTATACCAACAGTTGCAATTTTCCCTCACTGCAGCAATGAGAATATCATTAGCTCTCAATCTCTTACAGACCAGCTTGTGGGATTCATATTTCAGACTTGTTTATCACACATTGCATTGTATGTATTGACAGATGGCTGGAGCCTCCTTTCTTCCTCTTGGCCTCACTACCCTCTTCCCTCTTAGGTGCCTCTTCTGGTCTGCCAAATGTGACCTTGCCACGTGTGATGTTAAAAAAAAACCCACACCATACTGACTCTTTTTTTCCCTCATGCTGTCACAACTCCCAGAGTTTATCAGCTCAAACTATTATAACACACTCAGCATGTCATATTCTGGGTGTTATGACGCTTCCCCCCCCCCTCCCACACACATATGTAACACATGGGAGCACTGTCTTTAGCGAAGACAACAGATAGGTTCTCAGCGCGACACCATGCCTCCTTTATTAATAGGTAAGAGATAAAAAAGGAATGTATAATCAGACAAAGGTGTGATATAAATTTGGATAAAACGGAACAGTGATGTAGAAGAAAAAAACAAATAAGTTGTGTCAAGTATCTGGAAGGAGAGAGCGGAGCCAATACGAACAGGGAATGGGGTCTGGTGGTTAGTTGAGAAGACTTTGGCCTTTAATTGGCTGAGCATCACTAGGCACAGCAGGGAGGCTAAGAACCAGCAGAATTACATCTGTGATGAACATGAGTTACAAAAATCAACTTAATTGGAACTCGTGCAACAAAAATATCTGCCTCAAACAGCAGAATTAAGTGAGGAGAGACATAAGGCAGTGTGGGTGTCAGACGACTCAGATGTTTGCATTAGAAAGTGAAGTTGAAAGTTTGCGAGGGAATATTGACTATAGATGATATTTCAAGTAAGCACCGCATGTTGATGGCACTCACACTGTCACTGCAAAAAGGCAAAAATAACTCACATTTTAACTCTGAGCTGAGAAGACACGCATGTACACAGAAACACATCGATACCCTGCAGTATTATTTTTTGGTTAGATTCACTAAAATCTCTGTAAAGTCTATATTTTTATAATTTAGCTTTTGAAATCCAGATGGTGTGGCCTCTCAGACTAAATGCAGGCTCGAGTCCAAGCCTCTGGTAATGTAATTGGCTTGGCCTTGGAGAAAGTGTTCGGATACTAGGCTTGTGCACATTCAGAAGCAGCTGCATAATCTCTTCCTTACCATCAATATTTTTCTAAAAAAAAAAAAAAATGCCATCACTCCACATCAGCCAAATACAAAATATTTAGCATGGCTGTATTAGGTAGAAACCTCTGGGAAAGAGAAATAAAGCCAAAAAACTAGAGTTTCTCTTAGAGCCACTTTAAGCTGGCTGTAAAAGTGAGTCAATTCAAACCGACGCTCATGTTTGATAAGCAAGTTTGCTAACATTAGCTAATAACCTAATATGCACTAATTATCTATTACAAAGCCAGATCTCGATTAACAACATCTGCACTGTGATTTAAAGTCGGATGTATTAATAGTAGATGTGTTAATAACACAGCAGTTCTAATTGTTTGTGCTATTCACTTGACAAATTTCTGACTTCTAAAAAAAATGATGAAAAAACATCTCTAATGGGATTCGCAGACTTTACCTATTACCCATGAGTGTGCTGACTCAGTTAGCTGAAGTTGCTTTAGATTCTTTTAAACAACAGGGACATTAAAATGTAAATAATTGTGAAAGATTCATAACAGCATGCAACTTCAGCATTACTTGCTGACTTTACATTTAATGTCTTGATTTAGTTTTTTCAAAACAAAACAAAAAGAAATTGTTGCTTTAGCTGTCGGTGTTGCCCCCACAGGGCAGGAAAAGAAACTCGCTGCCAAAAAGAGCAATTAACAACAATTTCAACAATCTAGTGGTCCCCATGCTTAGTCATTAGTGACAAATCAACCAATTCCCCATCCTGTCTCTAGTTTCCTAATTTATACTATGCTCCATTATACTGGCGACATCTGTCCAGTCCAGACAGCGTTCCTATTAGGCAGATGAGTAAGTCTCTCTGCTGACCTGGTGAGGTAAGAGCCTCTCTAATTCAGCCACTGTCCCTGAGACTTGGCAGTGATGGACTATGGCCAAGGGTCTCCCTAGGGCTGTAGCACCAAGTAGTGCAACTCATTCATAGCCTCTTTCAGACGACCACTCTGCTCGTGAAGTCCTGCACATGTTTCTGTTTCTGCAGAGAGTTATAGTTTGTTATTCTGGGGAGGAGGCAGGTGGTGGCTGTATGGATTACTCTTCATTATATGTATGGGGGCAAACTACAGAGACTTTAGAGTTGTCATATTGAGATGAAAAGTTTACTGTGCTGGGATTTCTATAAGCCGAGCTGATTGATTAGATGGTCGTCGGGGAAAAACCTTGATCTTGTGGATGCACAATGTTTAGATAAGGTATAACCACTTCTATACAAAATAAGATATATTTCTGTTTCCTAATAAGGAAAGGCTGGTCTCGGGTATTACATCAGATATTGAACTGCTATCTGAAACTAAGGGGCAGCCTCGGTAAGTAAGCACAAAAGCCTCTGAGAGGCTTTACATGCTGCATTCCTTGTCTCGCTCCACATTCCCATCCATTCTTCAGGAAATCAATGTGGGACACCAGTAAACAGAGTTATGAGGTAGCCCATCCATGCTTACTGCTGGCTGTTTATTGCCAGTGTATTAAGCTACAGCTGAGAGGCCTAGCCTGTCAATAATTCTTGTCCCTGAGGAAAAGATGGCATGTGAATAAAACCTCACAGCTAAGCAAAATCAAACACTCTGAAGGCAGTAGCATATTTGTGTTTGTACAACCATTGGAGAAGCATTCATTTAGCCTATGTGCATCTATATTTATATATTTCTGTTCTTTCTTCAAGTTACAATCAGCTTCTACCTAGATTATTTGCCTTATACTGATTTATCATATTCTGTCATTTTCTTTCCTCAGACTTCCTGTATCTCTTATCAATTTGTAATACCTTTTCTCAATCCAACCAACATATCTAATTGAGGAGTCTGCAGCTATGCTTCTGGCTTTGTTAGCCTGCACTGGCACCCAAACATGTTCATGACAGCATTTCTAACATGCTGGTATTTAGCAGGATTGTCTTATTACTCTTTCAGTTTAGTAGCATGGTTTATTTTGTTTTTGGTTAGCATGCACTCATACAGCCAAGCTCTTATTTGTGGGCTGATATTGCTTCCATAAAGTAGTCAGATGGGGTTTTGCAGAAGGGATGTCTGCACTAGATTATTATAACAGCTATAGTTGTAGAGAAACCTAAAGGCAACAGTTAGCTTAATGATTGTTTACATTTACTGAACTTTTACTCAGCAGCATCTGCAAAGCCTTTTACAGACCGTGTCAAAGAAGTCACCATTGTGACTGCATGCTGTTACAAAAAATGGCCAAAAAGTTTGCTGTAAACTTTGCAACAGTTTGCATATCACAGCTCAGCTATAAGCTAGTCACATAATCTCAAATCTGTTAGCTGATTTGATCTGCTAATTGTTCATGATTAACACTGGAGGCTTTGAGTGGTGTACTTCTATTGGTTAGCCCCAATAATAGTTTTATAATAGCAGACATGAATAGTTAGGGCATCACTGGGCTTCAGTGGTAGCAGCTCCACCAAAATTCAACAAAAAGAAGCATTAGATGCCTCCTAACTCATAGGCTGTGGTTATAACTTCAGTCTAAAATAACAAGGTTAAAATGATTGAATATTCTGCAAAATGTAGCTTTTTTCTTTTTCTCCCTTTTATAACGCATATTGACTAGGAAGGACAGAGGCAGATGTCGTTAATGGAGAGGACACAGGACACATGTTTAACACAGGACACAGGAAAAGTTATGTATACTACTCTAGCAAGTCTGTGCTGGCTGTTTATCACTGTGACTGTATTAACGTTATAACTTTAATATATTTATTAAAGAACATATTTCTAATCTGCTTTTTATTAGTAGTTAGTATCAATAGGGGTCAACCTACAGATTAATTAAGGCATGTTAATGTCTAAAGAGGCATTTCACTTCAGCTTACTTCACACAGAGGTCTGCTTGCGTGCATTTTTTTTTTTTAAATCCTGGGTGAGCAAAAAGGATAAGGAAGAGTGGGAGGATAACAACCCTGCAAATTACAAGCTTCTTCAATTTTCCACATCAAGGCCTTTGTAGAGGGAATGTTGCAGAATTTCAGGCGAGCACAGACATCCTAAATTGACCTGACTCACAAGTGCCCTTGAGAGTGAACTAATGTGAAAAGCAAAGCATGCAGAGTTTCCTGTGTCTTTATAGTTTGCCATCTTTGGACCATAAAGGTTAATCTCATTCATCTTACTGTACATCACGGCTGTGGGTAACTCCTCCTCCCTAGCCTTCTTCTTCATTTCACTGTGGTTTAGTTAAATGTCAGACAACAGCTGACATGCAGAGGAGGGAGAATCATTAGTCGCAACTGCGAGACAGGAAGCATGAGCGTCATTAACAGTCATTAGTTCAGAGACAGCAGGACAGGTTGCCACCACGACCATGCCTCTCTCCATCACTCACAGGTTCAGAACACTGAGTCAGGAACGCCTCCACACCCACATCCTGCTGTTGCCATTCTTCCCGTATTTCAAGGTTCCAGTTTTTGTGATTGTGTCTTTGTGACGTGGACAAAGTCTTTTTACACATTCATTCATTTTGATTGCTTTAATTCCGTCCTTGCTTGCCTCAGAAGAGGCACTCTCCCTCCCACCTTGCGCTTAAAGCTTGAACGAGGCTTAGCACTAAACAAATTGACAATTATCATGCCAATCTTCGCCTCATTGGCTTCCAGCAGAGTTTGGAATAGACTTTAAAATGCTACTGATTATTTTCAAAGCACCAGGGTTTTAACTATTCCCTGTGTATTCACAGAAAGGCAGTGCCAGTCAAAAGCCATTAAAAGTTATTGCACTTTTGCAATTACGGTCCACGTTCTTTGGAACCAACAGCTTCAAGGTATTATTTGAGTTGCAGGCCATTTCTCATGACCTCTTTTAAAATCAATTTCTGTTAGCATTTGCTATTTATTGCTGCCTAGTTATAGTAGTTTCATTTATTATGAAGCATCTGCATTCATTTTCTAATCAATTTATCATCAAGGATGATGCCTAATGACTTTGCTAACAATGTGTTTGCGAGAACAAAAAAATGGAGGTGAGATAGGCTGTGAAAGAATATAAATACATTCTTTGGTTATGCATGGACAATCCTCTGAAAAAAACAATGAAATATATAAATTTTATGCAGAAACATCCACCCCTCTCCTCTCTTCTTCTCTGACCCGACTGGCACAAGTAGCTGTTAAACATTATTGTACAAAGACAAAGACTTATAGCTTAAGGGCAAATTTACAATGCAAGGCAACCAGAATTGCATAAAATTGATGAGAGGAGAAAATTCTGCTTATAATTTACGGACAGTGGCCTAATTTATGAAAATGTACAAAGTCTCTCTACAGAGAGAGGAGCAAAACAGATCTATCAGAACTGGGTGGGTACTGTGTGTGGGGGGTCTTGGAGGTCGAGTTTTTTGGGTTGAGTCTCTGTAATAAACATCCCATTTAATAAACACTAGAAGAGGATTTTAGGTAGTGCCAGACATGAACAGTTAGGGCATCACTGGGCTTCATTTTTGGGATTTTGAAGACCAATACCATTTTTTTTCTGTCACACATAAAGCATAAACGGGTTTAACATTTGTTAGGTGTAGTTACTGCACTTATGATTCTTTACTAAGATAATATGATAATGTTGCAAAAATTGGCACAACAAGTTACCCATTTATGCTCTGCCTGACTCTGCAGGTTGTTGTGCTTGTGCCATTCCAAACAAGATGTTGCCAGCAGTGTAGTTGCAGACTGCCCTCAGGCCATTTATCCATCCACTTTCTTCCACTTATCCAGAGCCGGGTTGTGGGGGCAGCAGCCTAAGCAGAAAAGCCTAATCCTCCCTCTGCCCAGCCACTGCCTCCTGCTTATCCAGGGAACACTGAAGTGCTTCTGGTCCTGGGTCTATACGCCCCCAGACACCTCACCCAGGAGACGCCCAAGAGGCATCATTCTTGTCAGATATCTGAACCACCTGAACTGGGTCCATTAAATGTGGAGGAGTAGGGCCTCTACTCTGAGCCCCTCTTGAATGACTGAACTCACTCAATCTCTCAGAGAGAGGCCAGCTACCTTTCAGAGAAAGCTCATTTCTGTCGTTTGCATCTTAGGTATCGTTCTTACGGTCACTACTCAAAAGTGGTGACCAAATTCACATAGTGGTCCAACTGTGTAACATCAACACTCATACCATGGCTTCTCCCTTCTCTTCCTTACTTTTTACATTTGCATTTATCGGTGGTTATAAATGCAGATGCAGCTGACTGATGATTTTAAACTAGAGTGCACCACTAGGAAATCTGACCTTCAGTGGTAGATTTTCTAATGCACATGTCACAGATATCAAAGCTGACGACATAACTTACATTGGTTGTGTGTGGGAGCCTTCTCTGGTAATAACGCCTTCTTTGTCCATCAGCATTTGTCTGAATGTGCTTACTTTCTGTCGGATTTCTTCTTCTGTGTACCTGAGGATAAGAAAACACAACAGTTAACAGACACATGTTCATCAGTAATCCACAGCTTTACTAGCGGGTTCAGCAGTCAGCGAACAAGGATGAATCTGAATTCTTCTCAGTGTTAACTAGAGTCTATGTGAAGGCCTGTGAACACTGACACGGCCGCCTTTAATAACAGCACCGATTGCAGCAGAGGAACTGGCAAAACTAACTGTTATCTTTCATAACTGCCAGAAGCTCGCGTAGGAGGCGTGTCGTGCCCCGCTATCACACAGAGTCAGAAAAAATGGCAAAGGCTGTCTTCTGACCGCATCCTGACCAAAAATTACACTCAGCCAAATGATGCACATTCTGATGATTCACTGTCAACCTCTCTGGTCCCAGGCGAGCCGGTACTGCATGTTTTATTCTGCAAGTGAGCACCGTGACTCGCAACTGAGCTGAGAGTAACTGCAAGCAGCTTGTGGAGCTCTCTATCAGCTGACACAGACAGAATAATGAGGATCTCTGCAGAGGCACAGAAAAATCAATTACTGTCTCGGTCATATTGTAGATTTGTATTCATATTTTTTAATCTAACATATTTGGCTTTTTTTTTTTTTTTTATGATGGCTGTGGCTGTTAGTAGGGGCAAAAGAAGAGGAGCAAAATGATCAGTGCTGTAATGACGCCCTAATTTCATTGTGAATGTAACAATACGAAATGCACAGAGTAAATCAGAAAGGCAAAACTGTTTATGCATACAGCTTTAGGCTACATCCTCCCAGTCTGTAAATTTCACAAGCAGCAGCCACAGTAGCACTACAGGCTGCCTCCTTTAGGAGCAGTGACAGCTCTAAGGTGAAGACAGTAATAATTCAACTAGCCTGTCTGAACAAGTCCCGTTTTAATCTACAGATACTCATAGTTCAGCCGTGCAAGAACATGTGCTTGACAGGACATGGCTTCTTAATTTCACTGCGCGCCGAAACCCATCTCCCGGTAAATTCACACCAACTTCTAAACCATCTCCAAGTTCAGCTTGGGCTGTGGTAATGAGCTGTAATGAGTTATAGAGCCAGAGAGAAGGCTGGAGGTGGGAGGGAAAAGGGAGAGAATTAATAAAGCTGTGAAATGGTGGCCAAGAGCCAAACATCACAGAGGAAGACTGACTGGGACCCACTGGTATTAATAAGCAACTATAATGTTTATGTCACATTGAACAATGAAAGAGATCCAGCACTGTGCTCACACAGAAATCCAGCGAGATTTACCACACAGCTAAAAACACAGATACCTGTCTTGACCGTAAAACTGCATTCATTGTGTCTTTGAATCTAAACCTACTGGTGTGTGGTGTTTTCATATTTGGTGATCGGCCAATTAGTGCTAAGTAACAGACTAATAAAATACTCCTGAAAACTAAAGGACAACCTTCCTGCAGATGGTCTGTACCACACTGCAAGCCATATTATTTGTAAGATAAAATGCTCCAAAAGGCACCAGCAGCACAAAGATAATAGATTCAAAGATTCAAGATTCAAAGTGTTTATTGTAATGTGTACAGAAGAAATAGCATTTCTCTGTGCAATGAAATTCTTCCTTTGCTGTCCATACACAAATGCCAAGTTGGGTAGGGTTGAAGCAACAAGATAAATAAGGATAAAATAAGACAAGACATTAAGATAAAAAAAAA